GTATCTTTATATTTGTTAAATCTTCTCCTATATTGATTATATTTGGACTATGTGATACAGTACCAAGAAGGATAAAGAACTCCGGTAATGAGAACAACTCCGCATCCATTTCAACATAAAAAGCTGCAATGTAGTGACGCATCTCCATAACATTAGAAATAGGTCAATAGTACTTCACTTTAAGTGATCATGAGTCATGATGCGTTCTGGCGCTAATCTGACACAGTTAGCACTCACTAGTCAGAAATACATAGAAATGTGCAATGTAGAACACAACTGGCAAACACTTATTCCTTGCATATTACTCTTGTCCAGATCTACCCTTCATCATGTCGAAACACCGGAGTGGGAGTCGCGACTTCTCTTGGCCGGATAGGTGGCATGATTGCCCCACTCATAGCTGTAGGATTGTTAGAGAGCTGTCATCAGAAAGAAGCTGTGTTTGTCTTCGATCTTGTACTCTTTCTTGCAGCAGTTGCCTGCGCCCTGTTCCCTCTAGAGACCAAGGGCTGCCAGATTCAGTAAGATCTCAGGCTCCACAATTCCCATGGATGGACAGTTGTATACCCACCCATCAGATTAGATTACAGCTACCATACAAGTACATTTGCCAGGAAGCATCATCTTGCCCCTGCTTTAGAGCGCAATTATTGTACAAATACTTCTGAAATAAATGAAATGGAAATCATCCAACTTCTCACCGCTCATTCAATCAATATGTCAAATCCTGGTTCATAGCAGTTCTCCTTTCTGTCAAATTATGACACGATTTTCTGGAAGTCGCCTCGCTGCAAAATTTCTGGAAGTTGAAACTCCAATTACATGTAAGTGCACTCCTGAGCATACTGTATGTTGTCATGCTTGTCTTGTTATAGGAGATGTTTGATTCCTCATGTAAAATCCTTACCTGTTGGCGAACCATGTAATATCTGGCATGAGCATGAATGTATACCAATGTTTGATGAGTCATTTCAGATTCTCATTGATATGATTTGTTAATTTTGAAGAAAAAGGCACCCAGCCCTGGCTCCATTTTGTCGTTCTTCACATCCCACGCGGAGGTCAGCGGGTACTACCTCAGCAGAAACAAACATAAACGAAAAGGAAGTCTAGGGCTAAATGTCCACAACAACAAAATGACAACCAAAAGGGAAACACCTCAACACCAAAGCAGTCTTTATTTTCACCACATTCCGAAGCATTTTTGTTCGGTTCTGCATCTTCAGCGATCCAGGAAAGCATCAGGTTTTTCTTTCTCGCTCGTAATGAGGGCACTCAAAAGCTGAGTATTTAACAAAAAAAAAAACACTCGTCCAACTGGACTACCACTTTACAATTTTTCGTGCAGAACTATCAAATGGGTTCTAATTTTTGGCTAAAAACTACCAACTCTTGTTAGTTACCGGTTCGGGTTGTTTAAGCCGGATTATGACAGGCGTTACTAGAAAAAAGCTGGATTATGACAGGCCTGCCCAACCCAGGGTGGCACAAAATGTCAACTCCATTAACTTTGACCATTATATTTGTCGTTATTACAGGTGGGACTCAGTCATCAACGTCAACCCTCTTCTCCCTTAAGACTATTTTTTCTTCAGACATTTTCTCGAGTAGCTTGTATGCGTGCCAGAGCACGAGCTACTCGTCCTCAGCCGCCTGCCACCGGTGTAGTGGATCCGCGCGAGGCACCTGTCAGAGGAGAGAGGAACTAAGGAAGGGCGCATGAGGATCAGGCTCGTGTTGTTGCCTCAGTTGTCCAACATGTTGAACAACCCCATAGCCTGCAACGGCACCTGACACAAATTTTGTAACCTTTTGTTCCCATTGTCTGAACAAAATTTGATTCTATGATACTTTTTGAAATTTCATTTTTTTGAGAAAGTGTACATTTTAAAAAAAATGTGAGTAATTTTGAAATAGTGAATGCGTTTTTAAAAATACATTTTTTAAAACTTACATTTTTTTTGATTTTTTGAACATTTATTGAAAACTTCAAATAAATTTTGATATTCTTAATAATTTTTAATTTCTGGGAAAAGGAAACAAAGAATATTGTTTGAATATTTAAAACTTTCAAATAGTTTTGTTTTTTAATTTTGAGAACATTTTTTCAAATCTGAATAATGTATAATTTTTTGAACAATTTTAGAAATCATGAATATTTTTTGAGTTTTGAGAACATATTTGGAAATACCGATCATTTTTATTATTGGGAACATTTTTTTAGTAAGTTCGTGAATATATGAAAAGCAAAAAAAAATTGAAGAAAAGGAAACGAAAAAAGAACAGCGCAGTACAACAACTGAATGGGCCGGTCCAGTTCGCTCAGAAAAGCCGCAAAAAACCAGACGCAAAGCGCACCCCGTCTTCCAAAATCTCCCAAACGCAAAGGGCGACGCGATCGACCCACCCCACCGTAGCCAACCCTAGCCGCGGGCGGTCCCAGCCATAGCCACCGCGGTACCCGGCCTCCGCCTCACCGCGTCGCGAACCACCGGTTGGCTTCGACCACCGCCCCGCCGCCGCCCCAAGCATCCAAGCACGCTGCGCAACCGCGAGCTAGCGAGGGTTGTATTTGGGTGAGTAGCTGCTGCCTTTCGCCGGCCTGTTTTCCGGTACGATGTTGTTAGCCTGACGCCTGCGTTGTTGGGTTTTGAGCACTTCCGCACCGATTTCTTCTGGTGAATTACGTTTGGCGGCAATTCCCCTTGGGATGAATTCCTCTGACAACAAAATGTCGAGAAGTGGATGCAATGTTCCGTGACAAACCAAATGCTGTAGTATACAGTATTGGTCCTCCAGACTGATCATGTGGGGAATTTACTACATTGGGCACCCATAATTTGCAGACCATTTTTAGCAGCCAGTGCAGTCACATAACCTGAATATTCTAGGGAAACCACCCAATGCAGCTAACCCGACAAATATTACTAACTGAGCTACTTACTCAGCAATCAACTGTTTTTTAAGGCTTTCCTGAAGTCCTGTTAAGCTCTCAGCTATTGTGACCCAGAGTCCCTGAGTATTCTGTTTGGTTAATCACCAAAAGCAGCCTTAGTAATTTTTGGTTATGACCAAAATCTTGGCTTTTGCTTGGATGGCTGCCAAAATTTTGGCATGCTCGTTCTCCATAGCCAACTCTAGTCCATTTTTCTTGCCAACATTAGCCAAAAAATGGGCAACCAAAACTTTAGCCAAAATAGTGGTACTAAATGTTTGGTGCGGTTGGCTTGAGCTCAAATCAGACATATACTACCCAAGGTACTACCGTCTCTCCCCTAGCAAATCCAACTCATTAGCAACTTAGTATATGAGATTAGATATTGGCGTTGTCTCCTTGTTGTAAATTCTAATAACTTCTAGCCATCCCATTCTCTTCACTAGGATAGGATTCCAATTTTTATTTATCCACATCACTACATTGTTAGATTTGGCGCAGTGGCAGTCTATCAAGCCTGCAGTAGCAGTCAAGTTAAAAAAAATGGAAGAGTTGGAATCAGAAAGAATAGTGTGGTAAAGTTTAAGATAGGGAGAGTTTTGTTCACCTAAGTCCATTCTAAATGGCTGCAGCTGTGCTGCCTGCATCTTGTTTGGATCAATCGATGAATAATCAAAGCTCTTGGTAAGCCTCGTAGCCTCTTCCACCTCTGGGATGAGAACATGCTGGCTGTTACACTAGGGCGAGTCCCCTATCCTTTGTTATTGGACTCTCATCTGCCCAAGCACATAACTCTGTACTTCAGCACTATTTTGCTTCCTTCTTTACTTGATTCCCCAACTTGGAGCCTGAAATGCCTGTGCACCTCATCGTCGACTGCCCCGATCACGAAAAGTGTCTGGTCCGATATGGTCTGAGCAGCCAGACCCCTCTGCTGCAGCCTGGTGGGAATTTGTCTTGAACTCGCTTGACTGGCTTCATATTCAAAATGTTGCGTTTGTTTGCTGGCATATTTGGAAGGAGAGGTGCAGGCGTATCTTTGACCAGACCACCTGCTCTGAAGCTCAGCTAGTCGAGAAGATCAAGCATGATTATCCTTGCTGCGTGGCTTAGCTTTATTTGGGATGGAACTGTGCATGGCGATGAGCCCTTGGTTTGCGAGTAATCTTCTTTGATCCTTTATTTGGGATGGAACTGTGCATGGCGATGAGCCCTTGGTTTGCGAGTAATCTTCTTTGATCCTTTTTTTCTCTCACCTGGGGCTCCAGGTGCTTATTTGTTCTCTGTAACAATTATTATTGTCCTCTGAAATGAATCAGCAGTACCCCTGCCTTCTTAAAAAATCCCCCAACTTGGACTAGTCCACTTCGTTTGAGGAAGAAGAATTTGAGGGAGTACAATGCCGAATCTATTTTCATTGAAAGTAGAAGAGGCAGCACCTAGTTATTCCTTTTGGAATCCATTTGAGATACTCATCACTTGTTTCACAGACATCTAAAACCCTGGCAAATCAACTGAACTTTGTAAGTGAAGTGTGAGGCCGGATGGATGTAATAATTTTTTAACTTTGAGTCTTCACTAGAAGGTATCCCCAGGGCCCTATTGTATAATCTAAAGGCTTAGGATGCAGTTGCCATCCTTGTAAAATCTGGGATAAAATCTAAAGATGTACTTCCGATTTTCCTCTTCTACCATTAACATTTGAAATTCCAACTATTATGTATTAAGAGTAACAAATAAGAAAATTCTAGCATTTGTAAGAAATCAAGTTATCGGATTTTTCACTTTTTCGCGGTGTGCTTGAAATTTTATTCATAAGTAGTCCATGAAGTACATCTAGCATAAATAAAATCTATATGTTGTGACTTTTATTAGTTTCAGTGCATGGTGATTGCACCCTAGCCTTTGGTGCATACAGTATGCACCCAGTATCCCCTAGGAGTGCATTATATACATTCTGGAGGTGTTAATAGTGTTGTGTAATGATAAATGGAGAACAATTTAATTCTGCATGTTATTGAACTGTTGAATTGCTGTTTAATTGATAGATGCTGCTGAGTGCAGGATGGACACCAAACGTGGGAGGAGCCGCAGTCCAGTGGAAATCAAGGATGGCCACTCTAAGGGGAGTGAGAATGGAAGGAAAGACAACTCAGCTCTACAGAATGACTCTAACCATGCCAGACCAGGCAGAGGTCATGAATTTGGTAGGCATTCTGATAGGCATTCCTATGGAGCACCTCGTGAATCCAGGAGGCATGATGATTATAGGAGGTATCATAATAAGCGAGCTGATGATAATGACAGGAGCCATTCTAGAACTTCTCGGTCAGATCGGGAATCAAGGGCTGACACTTACTATTATCCTTCAAAGCGTGATGACACATCTGATAGATCACATGGTGATTGGAGAAATGTTGACAGCAAGTATGGCGGCAAATCTGTCAAGGGAGAGCAGAGGACTAAGAATCAGGAAAAACATGGGCCCCCACGTGAATACCCTAGACATGATGGCACAGAGTATGACAAAGATGCTGATTTAAGAAAGGAAACCAACTCTACCAGAAGGCATCCAGAAGAAAAGGAAAGTAAAAACAAGGAGAAGTTCAAGCAGGAGGATGCTCTAAAGAAGAGAAGCGGCAAGGAAATTGAGAAAAGCAGCTGTGCAGCAGAACCTGAGCTAGAAACTAGGGAGAAGAGAAGAAGCTTATTCAGTTCTGTTGGTCCAGGTGTTGAAAATGCACAGCACATGGAAATGGATACCTCAGGAGGTTGGTTAATATATATTTTTGTTTTCCTTGTTATTAATTCTGAACACACCGCTGCACTATTCTATTATTAAGATGAGATTATGGACTTCTTGACCTTAAACAAAATTTTGGTTAATTCTGCATCAGGAAATAAAGACGAAACCATGAATGATCTGAACGCTGCAAAAGTTGTAGCAATGAAAGCTGCTGAATCAGGTGAGTTGCCTCAGTTTGTTGTCAATATTTTTTTCTTCCATCGTTGCATTATCTCAAGGATTTATGTCCTCATTAGCTGCTTTAGTTTCTTCTGTGTTTTTTTCTAAAATTTGATGGAGGCACCTATTAAAGATGCGGCTTTGTGCGATGGGTATAGTATATTTGTTGGACTGAACTTCTCCCTGATAGCACAAGAATTTTGGTTCCATGATGGTCCAATTGTATGACTACGATGTTAATCTCTTCCATGACAGATCAGAGCTATGCAATGTTTTGCATGATTGACCCCTCCTTACATGCTCAATTGCAGTGAAGAAGAACATTCTAGGATTTGGGGTTGGAACCGGGCGGTTATCCCTTGACCAGAAGAAAAAGCTGCTTTGGGGCAATAAAAAGAGTAACCCTACAGAGGTATATCATGGATAGCATCTATTTGTTATTTTGCCTCTTTCCTTCCATTATTCCTGCATTACCATACTTTGGCTTCATATTTTTTACCTTCATTCTAATGCCTCAGACAAGCACTCACTGGGATTCGAATCTGTTTTCTGATCGGGAACGCCAAGAGAAATTCAACAAACTCATGGTAATTCCTTGAAGATGTATAATTTTATTATAAAATTCTGACCTGAATTCAGCTGAGCAACAACAATTACTCTGTGATGCACTAACACTTTCTTAGAGCCTGAGGGTGCCTTGGTGGCTATGGCCTATTGTAGGGTGTGAAGAGCAATGCCTCTGCCTCGGTTCAAGAGAACAAGGCCGTCAACAAGGGGGAGGGTCCAGTGGAAGTCAAGAAACAGGAGGAGCTCGACACCGACCTGGAGAAACTCTACGTAGCAGGCCTGCGCCGGAGAGATGGCCGGACTGTTGGCCTCGGCCTGTAGGGAACTCTGGATGTGAGTGTGGCAGCACCCAAGATCTGAAGTGCCTGTTATGTAGTACACAGTTCATTGGCTCTTTTATCCTTGCATGTGGAAATTTGACTGTCAGTTTTGCATTAAAAACTGTAGAAGTGGGTTGTTATGATCATCTTGTGGCTCATGAACATCTATTATGTCTGATTGACACTTCTATAGTGTGCTGGCATAACTTGTCGCCCTGGAGGACTTTTGCACTTGGATTTGTGCTTTGCTTGCCCTTTGACCATAAACACGACAGTGTGTACTAGAGCATCTCCAACAGTTGATGCAAAATAGGGCATCCAGAAAAAAAAGGCAGGAGAGAGAGAGAGAGAAGGTTTTAGGTCATCTGAAAATTTTCTGCCATAACATTTTCTGACGAACCAAATCTTTCAAATTGTACATGTGATAGAATCTTGGTAGTGATAAAGATATCCATTGGCTAATAATACTCGAATGTGTCACATCTCTACCATCGGATTGGTTTCATTCAACAGTAAATATTCAAAGTCATTCAAGCGACTAAGAGAATGTCGTCTTCCCTACCACTGTAAACAACTGCCTTGAGCAAATTCTTGTTTACAATAACTACATGCAAGTTGACCGAATTTGCAATTTTGGTAAGTTGATATTGCGAGAGGAGGAATGGTTGGAGGAAGAAGAAAGACGGACATCCATTGGTTCTTAACCTTATAGCCCAGAAAATTGACTTAACCAAAACAAAATTTTCAGACCACTTACATATAGCCGGCCCTTTTTCTGAAGCCAGATGGCATAAGCAAAGATGCTGAGGAGGAATGGCAGCGTTTGAAAGGAAGGAAAACTAATCGGGTTACGAGGCCAACAGTTGACGGCCGTCTAATCTCAGCAAACGCGCTTGATTCTCTTGTCGGCCGTCTCCCGTCTGGGATGACGCTTACGCGGTCCAAAGATGAGTGGTTGATATTCCAGCACACAAGCAAAACGAAGACTCGCTGCTTCTTCCCCGTTTGATCACTCCCTCTGCGCGCCGAACCCCGGAGCCCTCCTCCTCGCCGCCGCAGCGGAGCGGTTCCCAGACCTGGAATTTCGCTGGGTGAGTTTTTAGATTCGTCGCCTATAAGATCTTACCATGCTCACCCCGTCTTTTTATCTAGTCTAGTCTAGGAATACATATTTTTCTCGCTTCCGTAGTCCGGTTTGGATCTGCTGCTAGTGCTAGCTAGCTACCTGCCGATTTTATAGTCGCTTGCAGTAAGCTGTACTGCAAGAACGAAGGAAATTTTCAGACACCCCCTGCATTTGCATGATTAGCTAATTCCCTCACCAAAAGAGGATCAGATTCGTTCCTCGTGTTATCCTTACCAATCAGACTTTAGATCCTAAAATGAAACCGGCCTACATAACCTGTGTCATCTGACTGCCCCCTGTTGCATCTACTTACTGACCGCGGGTTTGTTTGTACCAGCTACCAAATGAGCCTGCGTATGCCATCTCGTGGATAAAATTCGGTCTGGCAGAAGCTTAGAAACAGTATGGATCGGTGGTACTTCTTTCTGCACAGCATAGGAGCTTAGAGCAACTCCAATGGGGCGACCCAAACGGACGGCGCATTTGTCCGCTTTTTGTCCGTTTGGGTCGGTCGCCCGCCCGCCGTCCGTCCAGTTTTGCATTTGGGTCGGCAATGCGCCCAACGCGCCGACCCATTTCATGTCCGCATTCAACTTTTAAATAAAAAAGGCCCGCGGACGATCATGCCAGCGGCCATGTCTCATGCCGGCACCATGCCAGCGTCGGCATAGAATGCCGGCTTCAGAAAACACCACAGTTCATGCTGGCGCACTTGCCAGCCGGCCGGCACACATGCCAGCACACAAAAAAATGGTGGGACTTGAGTTCGACCACGCCATCGCGGCTCCCGTGGTCATGCCGGCACACTTGCCGACATACAAAAAAGATGGCCCCTCGACGTCATAGATCACTCGTCGTCGAACTTGAGCATGTCAGCCTGCATCTTCTCGAACCACGGCCTCTTCCTTGGCAACAAGGCGTTGAGATCCACCTTCATGATCTCCACCCCGGTCATCATGCTTGCAAGAGCCACTTCTTTCGCCTTTGTCTTGGCGTTGGCGGCCTCAATCTCTAGCATCTTGGCTTGCTTCTCCGCCTCGAGCTCGAACATCTTGGCTTGCTTCTCGGCGTCAAGATCAAGCCTCCTCCTTTGGATCTCCATGAAAGCATCCATTTGCTCCGCCTTGAAAGCCGGTGCTCCTCCTCTCTTGAGTCCTTCTTATTCATCATGCCGTCCACGCTTGCGATCAAGGCGTTGGTGGCCGCATCTCGCTTGTCCTCCTTCTTGGAGTTGGTCTTCCCCCGCGGCCATGCCGGCTCGCCCTCCCCAACATCCTCCACGGCGCCCTTCCCCCCACGTGCCTTGAGCGCGACATATTGTGCCTTGAACTTCTCTTCGTCCTTGATGACCCGATAGCAATGGGAGAGGTTGAAGCACTTGCCATTGTGTTGAACCTTGAATGCCTCCAAAGCTTGAAATGCCTATAAAATGTTTCCATGCAAGCATATGGGCAAGTGATAGCAAAATGAAGACGTAAAAGGATGATCTTGATGGCACAAAAGAGGGCGGCTTGCTTGCTATCATACCATGTCTTGCACGCCGATGCCGCTCACGGGGCGGGCCTTGACGCTCTCAAGGGTGGCGCAAAACTTGTTGCACTCTTGTTGGATCACCCTCCACCGCTTGGAAATGGAGACCCACCCGCGCGTGCTCACAAATTGATAGGGTGGAAACTTCTTGCGCTCATGAAACTCGCGGTGCACACGAGTCCAAAAGGTTGAATGCTTTTGCTCGGCGCCCGTCTTTGGGTCTTGTCCAATGTCTCGCCAACACTCGCAAAGAAGCTTGTCCTCGGCAGCTGTGTACGCCTTCGTGCGCTTCCTCTTGCGCTTCGGCTTAGGACCGGCGGTTTGGTTGGCGAGCTCGTCCTCGAACAAAGGCTCCACTTCAATGTTGCACTCGTCCTCTTCCTCTAGCCCATAGTCGTCCGGGAACTCGTGGTCGAGGGGGAATCCGTCCAGGTCGATGCCGACCTAATCACGCATGAAGGCCGCCTGATGGGGATCATAGCCAGCGGCCGGCGTGAACGCCCCGCGGCCGTCCTGGCTTTGCGTCTCCTCGGGATCGTCGCCGGCGCCCGGCGCACCACCCTCGAAGATGAGGTGTTGCATGTAGTCCTCGTCGACGGCGGACGACATTTCCTCGAACAGGTTACGGGCGTCCAGGAGACCGCCGGCCGGCGTCTGTCGCGCGCGTTTCCTCGTGCCGCCGGACGACGAGCCACCGACCACCGGGGTGGCGTTGAGGTCGATGGGCGCGGGCGCGGGCGTGGAAGGCGCGACCACGCTCACGTCGGGTGAGCACTCCCCAGAGAGGCGGGAGGCCTGCGGGTAGACGTGGAAGCCGGGGACCGGGTTGCAAGCCGATGCGCGGGGTGAGTCGGGCATCACCATCCGAGGAAACGCTGACGAGCCGGTGCTGGCCGCGGCGACGGCGGCTTGGGCGAGGTTGTGCTGGCTAGGGTTTACCCCAAGCATGCAGAGCGCCTGCCTCATTGCCGCGGCGACGCGGGCGTTGGTGAACTCCTGCTGCGCGGCGGCGGCGGCGGCCTGCGCAGCGGCCTCATCCCTCGCGTCCGCGGCGTGCCTCCGGCCCTTCCTCTTAGCCGACTCCCTTGCCCGCTGTTCGGGCGTCAGCGCCTTCTTCGGCTTGGTCACCGCGGCGGTCTTGCGCGGGGCACGAGGCTTGCCTTTCCCGGAGGGGGCGACGCCGCCGGACGAGGCGAGGGAGGCGAGGCCGGCGGCGGCGTCGAGGTCGAGGTCGATGGCGTCCTCCATGGCTGGTTGGGGGGCGGGGGCGCGCGCGGGCGGGAGCGTTTTTGGGGAAAATGGGGGGAAATGGTGGTGGCTGCCACCGATAGGCGGGCCCGGGGAGAGGAGTAGGCGCGCGCGCGTCCGTCTCGTGTCCGCGCCGATGCAAATCCGGCTCAAAATTGGGCCTGGAATGGGTCGCCCGCGGATGAAAAACGGACGCGGGCGGACGAAATGGGTCGCCCCATTGGAGTGCTCTTATATATTTATACTCCCTCCGTCCCCTAATATAAGATCGTTTTTGACACTAGTACGTCCTAGATAAGTTATCAATGAGAAATATGTAGTACACTCAAATTGGAAGAATGTCTTTTCTTTCTGCACCAACAAGACTTTATCACAGCCTTTTCTTGTCCAAGTTAGTGAATTAATGTGCTTTGCAGATGCACTCGAGCACTCGCAGTAGCATCATGCAAACTAATCCTAATAGTAGATACTAAAAAATGACATGAAAAGCTACATGAACATAATTTACCTTCAGCGCTTTTTTGTGCCGAGAGTAAACAAAACACCGAGTAAGTTCAGATTGGTGAGTTCCGCAATCTTAAGTTTTTAGGCTAGTGAACCTTTTGGGTTATCAGAAAAACTGGCCAATGAAATATCACTTACAATTTATTAGCTTCCGTGGTACTATAAAAAAATTGAACTATGAGCTAAGGTGACTTTGTTGATCAGTGGGCTGTATGTGCAAACATACTTATGAATCATGTACTCCCTCCGTCCCAAAATAAATGTCTCAAGCTTAGTACAACTTTGTACTAAAAAGACACTTATTTTGGGACGGAGGGAGTACTTGCTAATGCTTCCCTTGCAATGCACTTCCTTGGGGCCTATCTACATATCTTCAGTCTGACTGATTCTTTATTTCAATCTTTCTGGTAGATTCATCCAAGATATTGTATTGGCTCTCATCTCCTTCTTGCTTGTTTGCCTTTGATCTTTCTGGCTTAGGACATTTTCACCCTTGAAAGAAGCCAACCAGTGAAAATCCATAGTACCATGGCAGAGGGGGTTGTCGGCATGCTGATTCTGAAGCTTGGCTCAGCCTTGGCCATAGAAGCAATCAAGGTTGGTACAGGGAAGCTATGCCGTCAAGCTAAAGCTTCTTCTATTGCCAGGCTGTTTGGTCAGATCCGTGATATCAAGGAGGAGCTGGAGAGCATGCAGTCGTTTCTACAAGAAGCCGAGAGGTTCAAGGATACTGACAATACCACTGCCAGCTTCATCAACAAGATACGAGGCCTTGCTTTCGAGATCGAGGATGTTGTTGACGAGTTCACCTACAAGTTAGAGGACAAACATGGTGGCTTTTCTGTGAAGATCAAGCGGCAGTTTAAGAGAATCAGTACCTGGCGCCGTCTGTCACTGAAATTGAGAGACATCAAACTGAAATTAGAGAATGTTGATAGGAGAAAGGCCCGGTATGACATGAGAGGAATTGCAATCGAAGCTAGAAACAGTGATGCTCATTGCAGATCTACAGATCAGACTTCATACTTCCCAATAGAAGAAAATCTTGTCGGCATTGATGAGAGTAAGAATCTGCTGATTAATTGGTTGACAAGTGATTTCCAACAGGAGAATGTAATTAGCACAGTATGGGGGATGGGAGGAGTAGGCAAGACCACTTTGGTTGCCCATGTTTACAACACTTTGAAGATTGACTTCGACTGTGCTGCATGGGTAACTGTCTCAAAAGCATACCAGGTTCAGGACTTGTTAAAGCAGATTATCAGGGAGTTACAGAAGAGCGACTTGAAGGGTGAACTTCGCGTTGATATTGTTGACATGGAAAAGAGAAGCCTAGTTGAGATCATCCGTGATTTCCTGCGTGGCAAGAAGTATCTTCTGGTTCTAGATGATGTCTGGGGTATTGATATCTGGTTCAAAATAAGAGATGCTTTCCCTACTAACAGCACCAGCCGGTTTGTAATCACGTCAAGAATCCATGATGTAGCGTTGCTGGCTACTGGAAATTGCATGGTTGAATTGAAACCACTAGAAGCGCACCACTCATGGGAATTGTTCTGTAAAGAGGCGTTTTGGAAAAATGAAAACAGAATATGTCCGGAGGAGCTACAGTTTTTGGCACAAAGATTTGTGGACAAGTGTAATGGCTTGCCCATTGCTATTGCATGCATAGGTCGTTTACTGTCCTGCAAAAGCCAAACTCATTCTGAATGGGAAAAATTGTACAAGGAATTAGAAGTGCAGTTGACAAACAATGCGATTCTTGATGTTAACATAGTTCTAATGGTCAGTTTGGGGGATCTTCCATATATTTTGAAGAACTGCTTTCTTCATTGTATTGTATTTCCAGAGGATTATTTGATCAAAAGGAAAAGACTGATTAGACATTGGGTGACAGCAGGATTCATCAGGGAAACAGAGCACAAAACAATGGAGGAAGTGGCAGAGGGCTATTTGTATGAACTTGTAAATCGAAGCCTATTGCAGGTAGTGGAGAGGAATGAAAGTGGACGTGTGCGGAGTTGCCGAATGCATGATATCATTCGCCTTCTTGCTCTGGCTAAATCAAATGAGGAAAGGTTCTGTAGAGTTCATGATGGCTCAGTGAGTTCTTCAGCAGAAAATACACGCCGCCTATCAATCCAAAGCCCCAATATTGAGCAGTTGACTCTTTCAAGTGAAGTTCAGCTCCGTTCAATCTATGTTTTTGACAATGGTCTGACAATTGATTCACTGAAGCCTTTCTTGAAATCTTTCAAGTTGCTATCAACTTTAGATCTACAAGGTTCCAAAATTAGGAGGCTACCAAATGAGATTTTCAACATGTTTAATCTGCGGTTTCTGGGTCTTAGAGATACCGAGGTTGAGGATATTCCGAAAACAGTTGGAAGACTACAGAAATTGGAAGTTTTGGATGCTTACAATGCTAAGCTGTTGAGTTTGCCGGAGAGTGTGGTGACACTTAGGAAGTTGAGATATCTATATGTTGCTACTGATCCAAAGACAAATATTAAAGGAGTTGTTGCCTGGACTGGAATCCAGGTGCCTAATGGAATAAGGCACTTGACAGACTTGCAAGCCTTGCAACTTGTTGAGGCAAGCTCAGAGACTTTGTGTCATCTTGGTGCTTTGACAGAGTTGAGAACTTTGTCCATCACCAAAGTGCAGAGAGAACAGTGTGTTGATTTGTGCAATGCTATCATGAATATGACCCATCTTGTTAGTCTTGCAATTATGGCTATAAACGAGAAAGAAACACTGGAACTGGAAGAGCTCTGCTTACCCCCTACGCTCTCGAAGCTTGAAATAGGAGGGCAACTAGATAGGAAACGGATGCCTCAGATTGTCTCGTCCTTCTCAGACCATGAAAACATTACCTTGTTGGCCTTAGCCTTCTCCAAACTTGATGAAGACTCATTTTCATGCCTGCTGGTGTTACATGGTCTACGTGCACTTTGGCTTGATAAGGCCTATGAAGGGAAGAGGCTGCACTTCAATGCCATGACATTTCCAAAACTGCGACTGCTATCAATCTCAGATGCACCTCAGCTCAATGATGTTGTAGTAGAAGAAAGTGCATTGCAAAGCCTTGTTCACCTATCTCTCACAGATTGTCCAGAGCTGAAGGCCCTCCCTGATGGCATTGAGCATCTTAGAACTCTAGAAAAATTATATCTGCGAGGAGTTTCCAAAGATCTCACAAAGAAGCTTCAGAATAAAGAAAAAACAAATGAATGCAATGATTATCTTAAGAAGATCAATCACGTCCGAAGGGTAACTGTTTATCCATGAAGCACTTGGGGTATGATCCAGTGTTCCAGTATATATTGTCAACTCAAGTACTCCCTCCGTTCCGAATTACTTGTCTTAAATTTGTCTAGATACGGAGGTATCTAGCACTAAAATGAGTCTAGATACATTCGTATCTAGACAAATCCAAGACAAGTAATTCAGAACGGAGGGAGTACCTCTGAGCTCTCGCTCAAACTGAAAATTTTACTTGTCTTGTAGAATGAGATCAACGACACTTGAGAGATGGCCTTGTGGTAACATGCAGCCCTCCTGAACTGTTTGGAGGGAAAAAAAAAGAGGAGGCTCTATAGAAGAGAGGTGGCAAGGAAATTAGAGAAGCATCTGTGTGCAGAACCTGAGTTAGAAACAAGGGAGAAGAGGAGAGCCTTATTCGATTTTCTTGGTCGAGAATTGAGATGTTGAAAATGCACAACACATCAAAATGGATACCTCAGGAGGTTGGTTGTTGTTTTTCTCTTTCCTTTTTTTAATTAATTCTGAAAATTTGTTGTTGCTGAACATACTGCCACACTATGGACTTCTTGACCCTAAACAAAGTTCTGTATAATTCTGCATCAGGAATCAAAGAGGGAACCATAAATGATCTCAATGCAGCAAAAGTTTCAGCAAGGAAAGCTGCTGAAATAGGCGAGTGTTGCCTCAGTTTATTATCATCACTATTTTTTTCCTTCCGTAGTGGCACTATCTCAAGGATTTGCGTACTCATCAGCGGGTTCAGTTTCTTCTTCTGCGCTTTGTCTAAAATTTATCACCTATTAAAAATGTGGCTTTCTGTGAGAAAAGTGTGGATAGTAAATTTGTCAGGCTGAACATTTCCCATCTTACCACAGCAAACTTATTTTCATTTGAGTTGTTTCAATTCCATTATGTATACATACAATTCGACTTGCAAGGGAATGCCAAAAAACTAAAAGACGGGTTTTGTAGGACGGTGATTCGACTTGTAATGTTGTATGGCACGGAGTGTTGGCTGTTGAGATGGATGTGTGGCCATACAAGGAAGGATCGAGTCAGTAATGATGATATATAGCCAGGATAGAGTTGGGGTAGGACCAACTGAAGAGAAGCTTGTCCAATATCATCTGAGATGGTTTGGTCATATACAAAGCAGGCCTCCAGAAACTCCAGTGCATAGCAGACGCCTAAAGTGTGTTGCTAATGTCATGTAAGGTCGGGATAGACTAAACTTCACATGGGAGGAGTCCGTAAAAAGAGATCCGAAGGATTGAAATATCATCAAAGAACTAGTCATGGACAAGGGTGCATGATCCACGTGCGAGAACCATGAGCTGGTTGCAAGATCTCACGGGTTTCAGCTCTGTTGTTGTTTGTGTTAGAGTTATATTAGTGATGTCTTTTGGCCTTTTGCATTCTAGTCTCTTGGCATCCTTTTGTAGCCTTTTGGCATCCTTATGTATGTGTATACATATGTTGGCTTTGGCCTCCTAATAATACAAGTTGCTTCTTCTCCTAACATGGTATCATGAGCTAAGGTTTTTTTTCGCACACGCAACTCGTGTGATCCAATCACAATTCACGGCTGTGCTATCTCCTCGTGTGCCGGCGCTGCTCTTCTGCGCCTCCACTGCAGGTCAACCCTGCTGTCCACTCGTGCCACCCGCGACGCCTCAGGTCGCCCGCGTTTCAGCCGAACCACCCCGCTGCTGTTCGTCTTGGATTCGACTTCGTCCGCTGCTCCTCTTCAATTTGATCGTCGCCGCCCCCGCCGGATTTCGCCATCATCCGCGTTCCTCGCTGGATCTCCTCCGCCGGTGGCCAGATCCCGCCACCTCCGGCTGGATTCAATCCCCGGGCTGCTACTCGTCCCGGCGGGACTCTCTGGTCCTCGAGCATGAGCGCTCGCTCGACCCAACCCACCGCTGGCCGATTCAGCGCGTGAGCGTTTCGGCCGGTGCTGCTTCGTTCCGCCTCAGCCCACTGGCTGGTTTTCCCAGGAGCCCGTCACCGTCTCTTTCGCGTGGCTGCCCGTTCGGGTCCCTACCCGGGTGCCGGATTGCGCTGCCGCCGACCGCCGATTCGGTCGTCGTCCGCCCGTTCGCTGGTGCGTGTTTTCCTCGTTTGAGCCGCTCCGTCCGTGTCGCCGGAGATCACGCTCGTCCACCCGTCGTTTGCCATCTCAACCCATCGGTCTCCTCTGATCTGCTGCTGATCGGGTGGTTTCCTGATGTTCTCATTGTTTACAATTACAATCGGGAAGGATTGGATCGTGTTGATCCGGCAGCTTACTTTGGGCCTCGTCTGGTGTATCTGGTACCATCAGAATTCAGATTGGTACGTGAGCTTAAAAAGAGAGAGAGAGAGAGATTAAAAAAAAGAGTAAGAGAGAGAGATATTATGTTGCCGGTCTCTGCTCATCGCCGTCCAGTGACTATCAATGGTGTTCCCTATATTGATCCCGTGTCGCATATGCGCCACTGCTTGGTGCTCGTCCGTCTCTGATGTTGCCCTCTATGGCGTCTTCAACAGGCTGTGATAGTCGTTGTTCATCGACTATTTTCGCGGCTTCTGTCTGTGGTGGTGGTGCCTGCTCTACACCGACTTCCCTCGCCGCCTTCGCGCGCATCGGTGACCGCTCTACGTCGACTTGCTCTTCTCAGTCGACTCTACACACGGCTTTCACGGGTGGTGGCGACCGCTTTTCGTCAGCAGATGGTTCTACCTCGACGTCTGCCACTTTGTCTCTATCTGTGCATGAGATTGTGCAACTCCGATGCCTTCTTGATACTTGGGATTCTTCGCTGATAGGTTCTGCGGGTTCTGCGCCTGAGTTTTCGGGCAATGAGAAACCACCTTCTACTCATTCAGGTACATCCTCATGAATTTTTGATACTGGAGCATCTTTTCATATGACTTATGATTCCTCCACTTTGACATCCGTTCGACCTGTCGAGTCTCATGTTCGTGTTCATACTGCTGATGGTACTCCCCTCCCTGTCGCTAGTCGAGGCACTCTTAGCACATCTTATTTTCTTGTTCCCTCTGTTGCTCATGTTCCTCGACTTAGCATGCAACTCTTTTTAGGTAGTCAGATTGTTGACTCTAATTGTAGGGTCAATCTCGACTTTGATTCATGTTTTGTTCAGGATCGCCGCACAGGCGCTCTGCTTGGTGCTGGCCCTCGATGCCATGATGGTCTTTGGGAGCTTGACTGGCTTCGTCTTCCCTCCGATGCCACCGCCGCCAGTTTTGTGGCCCCTGTTGCCGCTTCTGCTAGCTCTTTTCAGCAGTGGCATCATCGTCTTGGCCATTTATATGGTTCTCGTCTCTCGTCTTTAGTTCATCGTGGTGTTCTGGGGTCTGTCTCCGGCAACGCTTCGTTGGATTGTCTAGGTTGTAGGCTTGGTAAGCAGATTCAGCTACCCTATCCTCACAGTGAGTCGATGTCTAAGCGTCCTTTTGATCTCATTCACTCAGATGTTTGGGGTCCTACTCTCTTCGCTTCGAAAGGGGATCATCGCTACTATATTCTCTTTATAGACGGTTTTACTCGCTACACCTGGATCTATTTCATGTCTTCTCGTAGCGAGGTCTTATCTATATACAAAAATTTTGCTGCCATGGTTCGTACCCAATTCTCCACTCCTATTCGTGTTTTCGCGCAGATTCTGCTGGTGAGTATATTTCTCGAGCGTTGCAAGGATTTCTTGCTGAACAGGGTACTCTTCCCCAGTTCTCTTGCCCTGGTGCTCATGCTCAGAATGGTGTGGCCGAGCACAAGCATCGTCACCTTCTTAATACGGCGCGTGCGATGATGATCGCTGCCTCTCTTCCACCTCACTTTTGGGCTAAGGCTATTTCCACTTCCACCTATCTCATCAATATTCAGCCATCTGCTGCTTTGCAGGGTGGTATTCCTTTCGGACGTCTTTCTGATCGTTCTCCTGATTATTCGGCGCTTCGTTTGTTTGGTTGTGTTTGCTATGTTCTTCTTCCTCCTCGTGAACGCACCAAGCTAACCGCTCAGTCTGTTGAGTGTGTCTTTCTAGGATATAGCGATGAGCATAAGGGTTATCGGTGTTGGGATCCTGTCGGTCGTCGGATGCGTATTTCTCGGGATGTAACTTTTGATGAGTCTCGTCCTTTCTACCCACGTCCATCCTCCTCGACCTTTTCTGTGGAGGACATCTCTTTTTTCACATTTCCCAATACACCTCCCTTTGTGCCCCATATTCCTACTCCTTCCCCCGTTGTTGCAGATACAACGCCATCCTCTCCCACAGTTTCTTCTCCTCCCTTGTCAGATGACTCTCCACCTTCATCCCCGATACCTTCTCCGTCTCCACCTTCATCCTCGATACCTTCTCTGTCTCCATCTTCATCAACGATGCCTTCTCCATCAGCACCGATGTCTTCCCCATCTCCACCTCCGGTGATTCCTGTTGGAAATATGCCCTAGAGGCAATAATAAAAGTGTTATTATTATATTTCCTTGTTCATGATAATTGTCTTTTATTCATGCTATAACTGTATTATCCGGAAATCGTAATACACGTGTGAATACATAGACCACAAGATGTCCCTAGTGAGCCTCTAGTTGACTAGCTCGTTGTGATCAACAGATAGTCATGGTTTCCTGGCTATGGACATTGGATGTCATTGATAACGGGATCACATCATTAGGAGAATGATGTGATGGACAAGACCCAATCCTAAGACTAGCACAAAGATCGTGTAGTTCATTTGCTAGAGCTTTGCCAATGTCAAGTATCTCTTCCTTTGACCATGAGATCGTGTAACTCCTGGATACCGTAGGAGTGCTTTGGGTGTATTAAACGTCACAACGTAACTGGGTGACTATAAAGGTGCACTACAGGTATCTCCGAAAGTATCTATTGTTTTATGCGGATCGAGACTGGGATTTGTCACTCCGTGTAAACGGAGAGGTATCTCTGGGCCCACTCGGTAGGACATCATCATATGCGCAATGTGACCAAGGAGTTGATCACGGGATGATGTGTTACGGAACGAGTAAAGTGACTTGCCGGTAACGAGATTGAACAAGGTATCGGTATACCGACGATCGAATCTCGGGCAAGTAAAATACCGCTAGACAAAGGGAATTGAATACGGGATCGATTGAGTCCTTGACATCGTGGTTCATCCGATGAGATCATCGTGGAACATGTGGGAGCCAACATGGGTATCCAGATCCCGCTGTTGGTTATTGACCGGAGAACGTCTCGGTCATGTCTGCATGTCTCCCGAACCCGTAGGGTCTACACACTTAAGGTTCGATGACGCTAGGGTTATAAAGGAAGCTTGTATGTGGTTACCGAATGTTGTTCGGAGTCCCGGATGAGATCCCGGACACAACGAGGAGTTCCGGAATGGTCCGGAGGTAAAGATTTATATATAGGAAGTCCTGTTTCGGCCATCGGGAC